TAACCCCCTGGTAAACCCCCCCGCCAAGTCCCGACCCCAAATCATCCCCCACATACATCAATTGCACCCCGTAAGTATAATTGACTTTAAAGTCAAAAATTTTGACTCCAAAGTCAACTAAACTTGCACCCCGCAATTGGCGTAGTTAGGGGGATGAGTTGGGATCGGGACCGGATGGGGGGGTTTACCGGGGGGTTAGAGGGGGTAGGAACTATCAATTTTGTGAACGGAGCACCGTAGGTGTCCCAATTGGGTGAGTGGCTTCCGTGGCCACTCTTTTTGAGTGGCTCTAGAACTTAGACGTTCCTCATTATCCTAAAATAAATTCCAAGGGCAACACCTTCAACTTTTAGAATTTCAAACTCGATGTTATCATCCGATTTGCAAACTACAATTCTTTACGTGGTAACGACTTTGCCCCGTTCTCTGGCTCCAACGGTAGTCCTACCAATTGTCAGTCGTTAATACGACCGACTACGACATTTCTGAGTTGGAGTCCATCAGCGAGGAAATTAGCAAAGGAAGGGCCAAAAAGACAGATATGCGATGAAGTATATTCCGACAGAAAGTCTTACATTGGCGAAGTACTACGTCGACGTGTCAGAGGATGCCATCGTCGCCAACTACCAAAAATTCAAAATGTTCTGGGAGCGTGTTGCGACGAAGTAAAACGCCAAGAGGCCCGATGGTACGCCCGTAAGTGACGGGGAGATGCTTCGAAAATACTGGATCCACGTGCACCCAGAAGTCCTGAAGTTAAATGGCTTATATGCCAACATGTTCAAGATGTGGCCTAGTAGATCCTGTATCATAGACATTATGTCGAAGGCGTTGGACCTTTATTATGAAGCGGAAGAGAGGGTTTTCAAGTTCTAGGAAATTTGAAAAGTTCTACAAAGGAGCCTCAAATTCAGCATCGGGGCAGAAGCTGGAAGATCAGTGTCGAAGCGATTCAACCTCTCCGAGACTTATTTGTACTTAACGAGCGGGGGGCAGACATTACATCGACCTCAATGCCATAGGGGACGACTTCCCCCATAGACCGAGTGACGAACCTAGCGGTTAGAGCCCCTCGATCGGGTCAAAGGCGGCAAAGAATGGAAAGGCCAAGACAACAGCTCCTAGTATTCAATCCCACTTGAAATCTCGACGTTGGACATGCTCAATAAAAACTTTGATAGCATGAGCTTCGCAATTCATTGCACCAACCTCAGCAAGCTTATGACAATAGACATAACGATGTCGGAGGTGGAGCTAAAGTACCACCACGATATGATGACGACGATCCATGCTATGATAAATATGGCCAACTCAGTAGTATTCGTTTTTCAATTATTTATTTTTTAATAACTTCTTTTATTTTTCAGCTTTTGTAATTTTAATTTTAAACATGTTAAATTTCTCCTTGTTATTAATGTAGTATTTCGTAATGTAATGTTGTATTCACTTATTTTTTATTTTTAATTGTTACAATCCCTTTTTTTTTCTTTAAAATTATTCATCTTTTTTTAGCTGAAAATAAATATTTGTATTAAATTTATATAAGTTTGGGAGTAAAATGCATAAAAGGTCCCCAGTTATAGTTCGTTTTACATATTTAGTCCCTACATACCAAATATCAATAATTTAGTCTCCAATTTGATTACAAATTGCGGGTTACGGAGTAAAATTTCCTATTTTTTAAAATCATTTTATTTACAAATTGGTATATCAATAAGATATAAAAATTACATATTAAAAAACTATGTCAAAAGTTCTACAAAACAAGAGGTGACAAGAATATTTTATTTTATCAAATACTTAATGAAATCGCGTAAACAAACAAAAAATATCGAGAGGAGAGAGAAAAAATTGTAATCTATTTAAGGACGGAGGGAGTATTATTTTCCACAAATGGTCCTTTGTTAACATTTCCATTAAAAACATGGATAAAATTGTAAATTCACGCTCCTCTCTCTCCTCAATTAAGCTTCCTCCCTCATCTCGCACGCCTTTCTCAAATTCGTCGCTGAGTTTGAAGCTCTAAATCCAAAACCGAAAGGATCACCCCTCTCTCAATCGTTCATCTTCCTGGTGGAACCCAAAATCGAAACCAATAACCTTCGTGGATGAGTTTTATGGGTAAGTCTCAGGAAATTGCAAAAGAAAATAAACCTTAAGACTCATCTATGAAGGTTACTCGTTTCGATTCTGGATTCCACCAAGAAGAAGAACAATTGAGAGAGAAGTGATGATTTAGGTTTTGGGTTCAAAGCTTCAAACTCAGCGAAGGGTTTAGGAAAGGAGTGCGAGAGTAGGGAGGAAGCTTAATTGAGAAGAGGGAGGAGCGTGAATTTACAATTTTATCTACGTTTTAACGAAAATGTTAACAAATGACCATTCGTGGAAAACAATATAATAACTGGAGACTAAATTATTGATATTTGATAAGTAGGGACTAAATATGTAAAACGAACTATAACTGGGACCTTTTATAGAATTTACTCCAAGTTTTGAATTAAAAATGATAAATAATGTAAAAGAAATGGAGAGGCAGATTTTTAATGCGATAGCATTGTAGAATTTTGAAATGAGACAAAAAATTAGTAAAATGTTGACGTGATAAGAGTTGGGAGAATCTCCATCATTGTAAATGTTCTTAGCTCTAGAGGCGCGTCGTCCAAATGAGTACTCAGGCCTGCATGGGTAGTTCAATTGGTTTAAGGAGAGAATGTCAAGTTTATTGATCCTAAAGTAGAATCCCGACAGTGTCAGTGTGAGAATTCTAATCTTTGTTACAGTTCTTTGTGCACATCGAGTACAAGACAGTCTCTCTAAAAATCAGATTAAGATTATACCATGATTATCCCACAATCGTGTAGGAACTGTGCTGGGAGGCACCTTTCCAAATTAAGGGTGGACACGGTACCAGTACTGTACCGTGACTAGCAACGGTACCGCCGGTACCCGCCACCGTCACTGCCGGCCGGGACGTTCTGCCGGTACCGGAATCGGTACCGACACCGCCCCCCTCAGTACCGGTTCTGGTACCCAAATTTCGGTACCGGCACCGGCGGTACTGGTACTGGTTCCGGTACCTTTTTAATTTATTTATTTTTTGCTTTTGCTTTCC